AGCATTATTAACTCGCACCAACTCAATCATAAAATTTGTACCAAAATTGAAACTTGTAAAATCTCTAGTATCAATAATACTCAGTAACTCAATCATAAAATTTGGAGTATATGACAAATGAAAAACTCTAAACAAAGACCTGAAATAAGTAAGTCAAACTATGATGATCGGAGAAAAATAATCATAGAAAAGAAATAAATTAAGTCGCGGGAAGAAGCGAAGATTGGGACCCACAAGGTGTCGCAAATCGCGAGCATTAAATATCTTCGGCGAACTCAAATCACACTTGGGCAGAAACAGACAAAGCTTGTCGCCATAACTCAACGAACCATTGCATCAAAAACATCACACACATGACACAACACAACCGTCGTTTCTAGCTCTCTCTCTCTCTCTCTCTCTCTCTCTCTCTCTCTCTCTCTCTCTCTCTAGTCTCCAAAGGCTAAGTTATCCCCCAGATCGTTACTAGAATTCGGGTTTTCCGCTTTTTGGTGTTTGACGAACTTTGGGTCCCGTAATTATTGCTTAAAGACAAGAAATTTATTTGCTTCCAGTAAGCAAAGTCATTTCCCTGCGCTGGCCCAGCCAGCTTGCTACGAGTTCAACACGACGTCGTCTTGATTCGTCTCGAGCTGTGGATATGGCTATTGTGGTTGTTGATCCTCTCTCTAGAAATTGATTCTCTTCTCTCCTTTTTACTGAGATTTTCTCCGGCAGACCAAACAGGTGAGTTTTGTGGATGTTAAGTGGATCTCTGTTTTGTCAGATTTAGCTCAGCTTGTGAAAATCTCTGAATCTTAAGAATCCTATTTTAAAATTTCAGAAACTTCTTGCTTTGAGCATCTCAGTATGATGACAATGTAGCTCATTTGCTGTGTCCATTTTTTTTAGGGTTTTCTATTTTTGGGTTTCTGAAAAAATTGGAAGAAAATGTTCAGCTTTTCTAAGAGGCGCATGAGACTTGGCAGGTTAGTCGTCTTTTTACCCTTCTGTAAATCAGATCGCCTTTTTGGGTCTGTATTGATTTTCTGAAAGCTGGGAACTTTTTTGGGTTTCTTTTTACCCTTTTTAAAACACCACTTTAAACGAATAACATTTTATTTAGGAATCACTTTTGGGGAGTCTCTTGCTTAAGCTTACTGTAAAAGCAGCTCCTTTTTTATAATACTGTTTCAAGATCAAGTGCTGATCCTTTCTTTAGTACTACGAAGTAATAACGTTGAAACTTATACTCTTTGTTTCTCAATTTGTAGTTTCTATTTTTAGACTGATGAGCAATTACATCAAAACACGTCTCATGATTACTTTAGATTCAACTGATATGCTTCTTCTCTGAATATGATTGTAATTGATCAGAGTTAAGAAGGTACAGCTCTCGGACTCTGTTCAAGGGCTTAAGAGTCCTTTGCGAGCAACCAAACGCGTAGATAACTCTAGTGTAAGTTATCTGATTTGTAACATTTTTTTCCGGTAACATTGACTGTGTTATCTGATTTTGTAAGGAAACATCATGATGCAGAATGAAGCTCCTTTGGCTGCAACAAGCTATTCTGATGAACATGATTTCCAGCCTTCATCGGGGAATTCTGAAAACTGGATGGGCTTATCGGTTGGAGGGCAAAAACCAGCTCCACGCTTTAATGTAACGAGTTTCTCGGTTTCCTGTCACTTTAGCTTCTTCGCTGTTTTGGAAAAAACTGATGAGGAACAAAAAGTTTTTACATATTTACTTGAATGCAGCATGCGGCGGCAGCTATTGGTAACAAAATGATAGTAGTTGGTGGAGAATCTGGTAATGGCTTGTTGGATGATGTACAGGTAAGAAAAGACTAGGGACAAATCATTTGGTTTCAAGTTTCAAGAACTAGTTTGATATTCTCAGTTTTTTTGCATTTTACAGGTGCTTAACTTTGATTCATTCACTTGGTCCACTGCGTCTTCGAAAGTTTACTTATCGCCAAGTAGTCTGCCTCTCATGATCCCTGCATGGAAAGGCCATTGCTTGGTAAAATTGATTGTTGGTTTGAGCAAAAATGTTTCTGTTCTTGTGGTTTTGTGATCTTTCTGTTTTTTCTGATTGTTTTTATCCGTTTGTTAGGTCTCTTGGGGTAAAAAAGTGCTATTGGTGGGTGGAAAAACAGATCCCAGCAGTGATAGAGTTTCAGGTTTTTACACTGTTGCTTTAAAGTTAAAGATTTGTTGATGTTTCGCTCTGCTTAAGACACTGTTGTGTTGCTACAATATTATTGGCAGTTTGGGCATTTGATACTGATTCGGAATGTTGGTCGCTAATGGAGGCAAAGGGAGACTTACCGGTAATTTTATAACTCCTTAATATACACATTTAGAAGTTTGTGGCTTTCTTGTTTGTGGACTCGAAGAAAAAGGCTGATTCGGATTAGATTATTGCAGGTCAGTCGCAGTGGTCACACAGTGGTGAGGGCAAGCTCGGTGTTGATCCTTTTCGGCGGTGAAGATTCTAAGAAGAGGAAACTAAACGATCTTCATATGTTTGATCTCAAATCATCCACATGGCTTCCTCTTAATTGCACGTAAGTTTTTTTCCACATGTTTTCCTAATGTCAGTTTACATTAAACTCTTTGTGATTTCTTGACAGTTATGTTTCTTCATTATCAGAGGAACACGGCCGTGTGCAAGATCGAATCATGTAGCGACGCTATTCGACGACAAAATTCTGTTTGTGTTTGGAGGTTCGGGCAAGAACAAAACACTAAATGACTTATACTCACTCGACTTTGAAACCGTAATGCTTTTCATCCTCACCCATCTTTCTATCTCTCTTGCTAGATTGAATATTGTTTTTTTTCATTGACACTTAAAACATTTCTTATCTTTTGGTGTTATCAAGATGGTATGGTCAAGAATCAAGATAAGAGGATTTCACCCGTCCCCAAGAGCGGGTAGTTGTGGAGTTCTCTGCGGTACTAAATGGTATATAACCGGAGGTGGAAGCAGAAAGAAGAGTAAGTTCTACATAGAAACCTCGCTGAATTAAGTCGGATCTTACAAGTTTGCTTTGCCTGTTTGCAGGACACGCAGAAACATTAGTGTTTGATATTCTGAAGGTCGAGTGGTCTGTGGCAAGCATCTCCTCTCAATCTTCCATCACAGCTAATAAGGTAAACTTAAACAGAACTTTATCTATTTGTCTCAACGGCCATCTGTTAAAGCTCAGGTACTGTTGTCTTGTAAAAATGTTTGGTATAGGGATTTAGTCTAGTTCATCTGCAACACAAGGATAAAGATTTCCTCGTAGCTTTCGGAGGAATGAAAAAAGATCCATCGAATCAGGTCCGAACTCATCCTTCCGCTGTATTTTTTTTTCATATTTTTGTTTGTCTCTCCGTCTGAATGCAAAAGTCTGAATCTTGTTCTGTGAAAAGGTTGAGGCTTTTACCATTGACAAGAACAAGAGTGAGTCGCCAACACATCCTCAAACAACTTCCAAGAAGAACCCTGGCCGGTTACTGTTCGGAAAACGATCTTCTTCCTCGGCAGTTTTAACCGCTGATGAATCTGTCAAAGCCTCTTCTCAGAGGCTGATTGATTCGGTTGCAAGACAGAAACTTGCTTCTGCCATTGAAGAGCACGGCGGCTCTGGTAGAAGGTCTTTGTCAGAGATTGCCTTTGCTGATCATCGTAACCCATCTTCTGGAAATGTCTCTTTGCGTAAACAGTTTAGCACCGAAGAGGAATACAGAGCGGTGGTTGAACCTGCAAAGTGCTCAGAAGAAGAAATATCTGCGCCTCGGGTATTTATATATAGTTAGTTCTTGTTTTAGCTGCAATGCATTGAACTGGTGTTCTTGAATCGCCTTGAAAAAATGTCTGCAATTTCTTGTCTTGGTTCAGACCGCAGATGACAACAATGGAGGAGGAGCAAAGATTACAGCAGAGAGAACGCTCTCTACGGTGTCTGACCGAGAAATGTCAAATCTTCAGAAGCATTCCTCTGAGTCATTTCCTTTTGCACACATTGACGATGCGTTGATATTCCCGGAAATGGATAATGTCACTTTAGCAGCGTCGGCGTCGTCATCGAGCGTGTACCAATTCCACGAGGCGAAAATGACGGCTCTTATAAGGAGAAACGGGATTCTGGAAGGGCAGTTAGAAGCAGCGTTGGCGGGAAGAGAAGCGGCCGAGAGGAATGTGTCGGTTGCGTTGAGGAGCAAGCAAGAGACTGATAAAAAGCTCTCTGACGCCATGAGAGATGTTGAGTTGCTTAAGGAGAAGCTCTCCGGGTTAGAGCTTGCTCAGGAGGAAGCTAATAGTTTGTCGAACATGGTTCACTCTGACAATGTCAGGCTCGAGCATGATTTAGCGTTCCTAAAAGCTGTTCTAGACGATACACAAAAGGTAAAAGAACCCTTGTGGCTATACACAAACGTCTCCAAAACGCAGAGAATCACATTTTAATAGCGTTTTGTGTGTGTGTTTTTTTGTTTTGGTAGGAGTTGCATTCAACAAGAGGAGTTCTTGCAGGAGAAAGAGCAAGAGCCTTCCAGCTGCAGGTATCATCATCAATGCATCATCATCAATATATGTATAGCTCTTTTCAATATACAGTATGCATTTCTCAAACGCGAGGTGAATGCAGGTTGAAGTGTTTCATCTGAAGCAAAGGTTACAATCACTGGAGAACAGAGCTGCTACACCAAGAAAGCCTTTCCATGTCTAAACACAGACTAGAGAGTCCAGTGACAAGACGAGAATCTTGAGACTTATATTTTGTACTCGAGACACATGAGTGGATCCCTCTATGTTTTGTGGATTAATGTAAAAAGAAGAAAGAAATTCAGAAATCTCAATAATCAATTCAGATTACAGAAGAAGACAAGTGACAATATAAACATGCATTTTCTCCATTAAAATAACTGTCGCCAAACTAAGAAGCTTCTTACACAAAGATACAACAAACTCTAGTGATCTCAATGATTAGCAATTTTTTTCCTTGTCGACACGGAAAATAACATTATCACTGCGCCTCTTCCTCAGGTGGCTCTTCTTCTTCTTGAAGAAGGTTCTCACGGTTGTCATGAGCCCAGAAGCCACGCACATCTATAAGCATGCTCGCGACGGTTCCACCTTGTTTACATCCCAAGAGATCATTCAGAGTGATTTTTAACGGGTCAGACGGTTTCACCATGTCCCAGATCTCGTCCCTGACATCCTCTATGCACAACTCATAGTTTCCACCTTCTATCCATTTCTGGTGAACATCTCTGCAAGTTCAACATGTGAGATTTGAGACAGTAATTTAGAAGAGAGAATGGAATTATTACAAATCAAGGATGTGTTTTATTATGCGCTAGTGTATTTGCAGATATGAGACTCGCGGAACAAAGCTCAGTTTCCGCAAGCAGGAATTGCAGAGGTTTTTTTTATAGGAAGATTGTATCAGATAACATCACAACTCTTTGATGCTCCCCTTCTTTACTTCCATGGTTGTTATGTAATTTGTAAGAATCTTCGGAGGAAATCTACTAAAATGGTAAAAAGGTAAAACACCAAACAGAATCCGTCACTTGTTAGAGATTCATTACCTGAAAAGAGAGTGAATATCGGCAGTGGTGAGAAAGCCTCTCCCTTGGAGATCCAGGCAGCGGAATAAGTAAGTCAAGCCCTCTGGAGTGTCTTTGTTCTCCAAAGCAAGAACGAAGTCTAGGAAGTTGTCAAAGTCCATTTCTCTGGAATTTTCTCTGGAATTGCCTGCGGTGTTTTTGCAACGGCGGACATGCTCATCAAACACTACAAAAGAGAAAGGGATATGAGGAACTTTTTTGTCAGTTGAAAAACAAAGAGGAAACTTGTAGATACTCAGTTACTTCTACAACTATACTTAAGCCTGTCTCGATCACTATTGGTGACTAAAAATACCACAAAGTAATTGAATTTACCTCTTTCGATGAAAATCTCAGTTAGGGTCCCATCCGCGTATTCTTTAAGTTCTTGTTTGCTTAGCGATCCACTCATATCTTTATCAAGTGCAAGAAACATATCTACAGGAGAAAGAGAAACTCTAGATCAATTTCCACTTGAGTTCTTCATAAGACAACGGGAGATTTTTCCAGTTTATCTGCAGGTATTAGGACAAAAGCAGCACACTCACCACATATACGTTGAGCTGATGTCAAAGAAAACCAATTTTCAGCCTGTTCTGTGTCTGTGATTTCCTCCTCACTTTCCTGACGTAGAGTATCCGGGGAACAATTAGTAAACGCAAGCGAAGTAATAAGTACCTTCTGAAAGTGGAAAGCAATATACGATCATACAGATGTATTACACTCATCCCTCATCTTAAGTACCTGATGCAATTCCATTAGTTCCTGCAGACAGTTACTGAGAAGTATCTTTTTAATACAAGCTTTTCCTGTACGCAAAAGAAAGAACACATGGCGATTGAATACTAGGTCAAGCAAATTTCTCGTTGCCAAATTATTATATATCTTTGGCGCTTACCTCGCCTATGGGGATCACAGAAGAAGAAAAACTTTTGTGAAGCTATGCGGCAATACATAGTAGTAAAGGCCTCCGGCATGTCCCTCAGTTGTGCCAGGTTAGGGATTAGACCACTAATATAGGACTCCATTTCCTACAATAACAGCAAGTAGGCTATTTGTAAGAAACGTGATAAGGAGAACTCCTTAAAGCTTCTTGGGGGCAATTGTAAACTTAAAATTTTATAGCCACTTGAGTACTTACCGAAGCTTGAAGGAATCCATCAGAATCTTCATCAAGCTCACTCATATCAATTCTAGCTTGTGTAAGCGACACCTGAACAGTGTTGAACAAATGATTATCAAAAAAGTATAACCTATAATTGGTTAGAGAAAAGAACAAATCCAACTGAAAAAAACAAACATCCAAAACTAGAGAAGCTGGTGCCACTCAGAGATAGGCAATAGGATGATATTCAGCCACAATAAACTTCTACACTAAGATATCAAATACCAAAAAAATAACAAGATGAGGTTACTGACCGTTCGCATCACATAGAGATAGAACGGTAATATAGCAATCCTCCCAGCCTCATCCTTCTCAAACTTCATGAAATTGGATGGGCTGAAGAACCGGCGACATTTGGGACCGATTTGTTCAGTACAAATAGAGGCAATGTGACAGAAGTCTTCATAGTTCATCTACATGGATAACACAGCACATATCACCACATCATCGTCAACATAGAGAACCATAACTTCAGCTTTAAAAATCCTATAATAGATGTACCTTTTCTGCACCAGTGGCATCATCAATCACACAATTTTCTCTCAAACAAACCCACATAGCAGCCAAATCATCAGCATTCAACAAAAGATCCGATTGTTTCTGTGGAAATAAATCAACATACTGAAGTGAGCAAAAACATTAAACTTCATCTGAGAAATAAGAACAGGTGGTGAAGAATCTATACCTTCAAGAAGCGGTATTTTGCAAGCTTCTGGACCCTTTGACTAATAGATCCTACTTCTGGTTTCTGAACAAAGAATAAAGGAGCAAAATCTTATTGTCTAACACGAATAAGAAGATTTTAACATATTAGTGCCCTGAAATAAAATCATCTTATAGAGCAAGGGACATGCCTTCTTGTAGAAACTCGGTATCGTGCCTGCTTCTTGGCTTTTCTGTTGCTTGTCTTTGAATATCTCGAGCAAGATTCTCTTAGTCTCGAGCTCTGCAAAACAATGAAAACAAACCCAATTTCAAACTCAGCAAAACCAAGACTCTATCACGATTAGCATAGTGCTTCGATGCATACACCGAGCTGCATTTTCTCAAGACGGCCTCAAATTTCAGAAATTTACTCACATCGAAACACAACGAGCTCGAAATGCGATTAGAAAAAAAAAATTCAAACTTTCCTATAAGAAAATGAAAGAGAATAACTTTTATGACCTACCCATTAAAGCTTCGGATCCTAACCCGGCGCCGGAACCAATGTACCGTCGAAGATTTCTGACCCAAAGCATCGAGGACGCCGGCGGGATCTTCCTCTGCGTCGATGTGTCGTGGCTCTCGCCATCGCTAGATCCGCTATACATTTTTTTCTTCTATTTAAGCAGATCGTCACAACCTTCGACGGAAAATGTTAGCCCCCAAATGAAGCAGAGAGATTAAATTCCTTAAGCGGAGGGTGAGAGCTGAACCAAGAACTGCAGAAACCCTACAGCAGCCTTCTCTCTCCCTCTTTCAAAACTCTTCTGATCTACGAGATCCAAGCTTCAAAGGTAACCAAAGTTTCTCAATATTGCAATATAGCTCCTCATTTTCGTAATACTTTTTATTATTACCCCATCATCATCTTTACTAAATTATTGAGATTGTACGAAACTTTGAAAATAAATCAAATTTTGGTACGAGATATGTGTAAATCCCGTTAAATAGTTTTTTTTCAGAGAAACAAAGCATAAAAGAGAAATGGCTTCCATATCCATTAACTGTTTCTTCACTCCTCAAGCTCTAGCTCGACCCATCAAGACGAAGAAGATCTTCGCTAAACCTAGCAAAGTCTCGGGAAGAACCCGAACGCCTAGAAAAACCAATCTCCAACGCGAAGTCGAGCTTAAATCTCGAGGCGGTGATAAACCCCAGCTGATTTCCGACGCCGGCGGCGAAGCCACTACTTATACGCGTCTTCCTCCAAGGGAAGATTTCTCCGATGTCTCTCTTCTGTCTTCCTCTTATCTGAATTTCTCCGAGGAAGTGAAGCTGTCTGAGTCAAATGTCGCAGGGGTCGAGGAGAATGTTGAAATGTTGGATGAAAACGATGAAGAAGATGAAGAAAAAGAGGCGAAGAACTATGATGATGATGATATCTGGGGAAATTACAGGCGATTAGATGTATTTGAAGGTAATTCAGGATCAATTGATGAGGATGATGATTCGGAAGACGAAGTGTTCGTGTATGGTGATGAACCGGATGTGGAGAAATCTGGATTGAAGGATGGAGAAGCTTTATGCTATTCAGGCGAAGAGGAAGAAGAAGAAGAAGAAGAAGGAGATGAGGATGAAATTGGGGTGAAGGAGAAAGGGGTCCCTGCGGTGATGCGGTGTTTCGACAGAGCGAAGATATACGTGAAAGCCGGAGACGGAGGGAACGGCGTGGTGGCGTTTAGGAGGGAGAAGTTCGTTCCTTTCGGAGGACCTTCAGGCGGAGACGGAGGGAGAGGAGGGAATGTGTATGTAGAGGTTGATGGGTCGATGAATTCGCTGTTGCCGTTTCGAAAGAGCGTGCATTTCAGGGCGCTGCGTGGGGAACATGGGAGAGGGAAGATGCAGAGTGGAGCCAAAGGAGTCGATGTTGTGGTGAAAGTGGCTCCCGGGACGGTGGTGAGACAGGCTAAAGAAGTTGGGAGTGAGGCGGAGGATGATGGGGAGGAGGTGGAGAAGGAGGTGCTCTTGGAGCTGTTGCATCCTGGACAGAGGGCTTTGTTGTTGCCTGGTGGGAGAGGTGGGCGAGGGAATGCTTCGTTCAAGTCCGGCATGAATAAAGTTCCTAGGATTGCTGAAAACGGTGAAGAAGGTCCTGAAATGTAAGTGTGCTTTTCTTTTTTTCTCAAGTTTAGGGTGTTGATTGAACAAAGTCTTAGGGAAGTGATTGCTTTGGTTTTGGGAAGAAAAGAATGTTGTTGTAATGTGTAAAGTTTGGGACTTCATCATCACTGTAATTAATAGCTTAGAAGCTAAAGTGTTTAAGGATGCAAGAATTTCATTTCTGTTTAGGAGCAATGCTCCTGTTGATACAGGGTGTGAATATATGTATGAAAGGATTTGGATTTCTGAGTTAGCATTAGATTGGATTTGAGTAGTTCTAAGAATCCAAATCATGCTGGTGCAGAACAATGAGACTTTTTGTTTGCCTATTTTGTCTTTTCTATGGGAAAGCTCTGGTTCAGATATATAACGTTACAATATGCAAATAGGTGGCTGGATTTGGAGCTAAAGCTGGTGGCAGACGTGGGAATCGTTGGTGCTCCAAATGCAGGGAAAAGCACGTTGTTGAGCGTGATAAGTGCTGCGCAGCCAACTATCGCGAATTACCCATTCACAACATTACTTCCAAATCTAGGTGTGGTTTCATTTGATTACGATTCAACAATGGTGGTCGCAGATCTTCCTGGTTTGCTCGAAGGAGCGCACAGAGGCTTCGGTTTAGGCCATGAGTTTCTAAGGCACACTGAGAGATGTTCAGCACTGGTAAAAAAACAACCATCTTGAGGTTCAAGCTTTATGCTTACAATTTTTGTTTTTGACTAAAAAAAAGCCTTTTTCTTTTGTCGTGTAAAAGGTACATGTCGTGGATGGTTCAGCTCCGCAGCCTGAACTTGAATTTGAAGCTGTTCGTCTCGAACTCGAGCTATTCAGCCCTGAGATCGCTGAGAAGCCTTACGTGGTGGCGTACAACAAAATGGACCTCCCTGATGCTTACGAGAAATGGCCAATGTTTAGGGAAACTCTTCGTGCCCGCGGGATTGAACCTTTTTGCATGAGCGCAGTACAGAGAGACGGCACACATGAAGTAATATCTTCCGTTTACGAACTCCTGAAGAAGTACAGAGAAGCCAACGCAGAACCCAAAGGTCTTTTCTACTTTTAGTTTGGCCTTATATGTTGAAACCTCGCTTATGCAGTGTATTGATGGGTTTTTTTAAATCTTTTTTCAATGTGGCTATAGGGTTGTTTGATCAAGCGAATGAGAATCTGGACCATGTAGCAAAGAAGATAGATAAAGAACGACGAGCAGCCATTAATGAGTTTGAGATCTTCCGAGATAGCGGTACGAGGGCTTGGCATGTAGTTGGAGCGGGGTTTCAACGGTTTGTCCAGATGACTAACTGGCGGTACGAGTTAAACTACACCCAAGATTTCACGCGATCAAACTAATCAAGTGTCACTAAACCAATGTTGATGATATTTGTATTTGGATAGGTACATGGATTCAGACAAAAGGTTTCAGCACGTGCTTGATGCTTGTGGTGTGAACAAAACACTGAAGAATATGGGCGTTAAAGAAGGCGATACCGTGATCGTAGGAGAGGTTTGTACTTTGTGTTGAGTTTCTCTGAATCTTTTGTCGCTTAAAAATTGGTTACCTTTGCGTTTATGATCTTTGTGTGTGTGTGTGTCAATAGATGGAGTTGGTGTGGCATGACTCAGCCAATGGCTCAAGTCGTCCTACAGATTCGAACAAGACTTCAACAGACTCAGTCAGATGGCCTCAATGGAAATGAACCATCATGTAACTCTCTTGTGGAGTATTTGTTAAAGCGAACCGACAAGTGAATCGGACTACTTCTCTGGTCATTGGATTGAACCGGTCGCTGATCACCGAATCCATTTTTAGCGAAGATAGAGAGTATGATGATACTGTATGTGTATTTTTTTATAAACGAAAATAAACTATATAAAATTTTATATATTTGAAACTAAATATTTTGTAAGACTCCAATAATAAAAAAAAAAATTGAAGGATACAAATGGTTACGAAAAATAAATAAAAGAAGTTTGCATTGAAAATCATTTATGTTATGACATTCATTAAGAAAAATCATTTATGTGCTTAGCCAACTATTGGACATGCACCACCACTTGAACAACTAAAAATGAGCTGGTGCAAACTATTGATTAGTCCATTCGAATATTCGATGTTTTGATTTATTTGTTTTCTAACAATTATTTGTAATAGTTTACAGTTATTTGCTAAGAATAATGGATTCAGACAATAGGACACAGTAAATCAATAATGGGCAGATCACAAAAACAAAAAGAAGAAAAAATGTCCGATATGTAAAGCTGCTCGAGTGTGTATGTGCATGTTTTTACATTATCGAGAAATTGCACCGAATCACTGATTGGGAGTCTGGGACCGGTATTCAAATCAGGTCAAACAAGCCGGATCGGTTTTTCCCGGTTTCAAGAAAAAAACATGCAGAGAGCAAACCGGGAGGAGGGTTGTGGTCTAAAAAAAGGTTTTGACAGAAAATCACTCGCAGTTTATTATCAGCCGTCCAATCAAATATCAGACGGTCCGTACGAGAGAGATCTTCTTTTTGACCACACACATCAAAAACAGACAATCACTTCTGTCTCTGTTAATTGGAAAATCGTAGCCGTACAGTTCATCACTGGGATCACGACACGTAGGCAGAGCATTCGAGTAGTTGGTAGGTCCCACGCTTACTTTGTTTCCTCGTTGTCGCGTGCGGCAACAGTATCTTACGTGTCATCGACAGTGTCCCACATAGTATGCGCGTACTAGGTTCGGTGGGTCTTCCTTCTAGATTACGTGTCTACATTCCATTGGTCATTTTTCCTTCCCCAAGTATCCCAGTTGTGTTTGGTTCATATCGTTCGTTGCCCTTGTTTGGTTCGGTGTGTCTCGTCTTTCGCAAATATATTTGTATTCAATCTATTAACCAAAATCACAATCTCTCCCGTTTATACTTCAAAAGTTAAATTCTGTAATTTTACTGTCGTATATTTTTACAAATTTCGGTGGCGAATAAGATATTTTCCCATACTTATTCGTTTCTATTTTTCTTCGCAGTTTAAATATTTTTTTAAAAAATCTCTAATATATCTAAGAAAGTAAGAATAATAAAAAAAAAAAAAGCATCACACGCAACATATATACAGTTAGCCAATATTTATTGAAATGGAACTTTGTATCTTAAATATATGTATGTATAGAGTGAGTGTGTGTCTGTGTGAGATAGAGAAAGGAGGAGAGGCACATGGAGAGCACAAACATAATTTAGGAGATAGTTATGATGTATTACGTCGCACTAGGCGCCACGAGTGTGTTTGATCACCTGACTTTTAAATTAAATGAAACTAATAGTAAACAAAAGGATCGGAGCTTATAACTTTCCAATCACCTAAATTCTAGAAACTAGTGAGTTTAACTACTATGTACTGTACTGTACACGAGTGTGGTTAAAAATAAGTATCATCCTCTGATTCTGCGGGTAAACAACGTAAATAGTTACTGAAAAGGTCGTACTGTTGATTGTTGAACGTAAATACTTAGATGCGTTAATTA